CTGCATGTTTAAAGCAAATATTTAGAATTCAAGACAATGAACTATTTTTTCCCTTCTGTTTTGAAAAATGATTCATTTTAATTGGCACTACATATTCCTCACTCTAAAGCAAGAGTTATGCTTTCATGGCAATTTAGTTTATACAATTTAAGACACCTTCAGCTTGCACACTGTTCAGGGGTAGATGAGGTGCCCAAAGAGGTAGGCATCATACCCTGAAGTTTCTAAGATACCACCCACAGCCTGGACAATTCTGTTCTCCAATTACACATTCCCTAAACCAACGCTGAATAAGCAGTACAGTCATTTTCTCTTGCAGATCATGGGCTAGTTTTCCTTACAAAAAACAACTTAAATCTACAGTAACTTACATTTCATAGTAGAAATCCTGTTCACCTGGCTGAGGTCCTGAGATCTATTAAATGGGACACGAATGACAATGAAACAAGATAAACTCATTTATTTAATAATGGCTATTAAAAACCAAGTGAACACTCTTTCATCTTCCACTGCAACATGAAGTGTGAAAAAGTCCTTTGCTGAGAAACAGCTGCTACTAAAACATGGTGATGACCATGGAGAATTTAGTGAATATCTGCCCACTGTGATCTCCAGGAGACACAGATCTTACAGAAGAGTTGACTTCTCCAGGAAACTGCTAACATCCCTTAGTGGACTAACAGGCTTGGCAGGTTGAAGATTATTCTCCAAATTCCTTTAAAGATGCGGTGGGTATGGGGCTGTTTGTGTGTAGTAGGTGGGAAGTAACAGGCAAACATTATAGAGGAGTGACAGAGGTAGTAGTGGATCGATACTGTGCAGGTCCAGCCCAGCAGAACACACTAAACTGCTCCCAAGACGGGAAGGGGTGACAGCAACAGCAGCTCACTAAGAACAGGATTTCTGCTCTATTCTGGCATAGAGGTATCAACCTCACACCATTTGCAGTGCCCCACCCCAAAAAATAAATCGATCACCTGCACATGGTCATGTTACAGCTTCATAGCAAGCCAGCTCTCATCTTAGAGTCCCCTCCTCATCCCTCCAACACTGCAAAATCTATGGTAGATACCTTGCCACACCTCCAGGAAAGCTGGAGAGTAAGATGGCATCTTTCTGCCCAACACAACAGAAAAAACCCAAGCTAGGCTACACTCATTTTGTCAGGTAGAATAAGGGAAGACCAAGTGCTTGCTGCAAGCACTTTGGTAATCAATTCCCTGGAGCTTAAGAGACAACTCTGCACTACATAGATAGCATGTAGCAGCAATGTCTTTGTCATACAGAAAAGAATCAGCACTGCTTCCCTCTTTCCCTTTTGCATGGCTTTGGGAAGTAGTAAAGACTAAAGTAAGCAAGGAAGACATTGGTCATCTCCAGAACGTTGCTCTCTGGAGAAAGGGCACAGAGACTATTTGGTCCTAAACTAGACATCCCCATGTGGCCCTTTTCTGCCCCCGAGGAGGCACTACACAAGTCTGGTGATACATGGCACTGCACCAGCAAACTTCTCAACCGAATCCTCAGACATCTTCCCTCCGCATGCATTTCTACCACTCACTGCAAACAAATTGGAAGGGAAACGGAATATAAAAGACGTTATCAAATCACTGAATTAGGCCATGCCTCTGCCAAGGGACAGGACATGGGAGGTAAATTCAGAAATCCTAAGTTTACATGTTCTTGATGCCAACAACCAAAAGGTCTGGCTTTGCTCAGAAAGCTGACAGCAGGCTGTGATAATCACCTGTGTGGTTACAGCATTTTAACAATATCCTACACTCCAGAAAGTCTCAGGTCAATGCTCTGCAATCTCAGGAGTTCCCTCAGGTTGCACACGGAAGGTTTTATTTTCAGTATGAAAATACAGATGGTTATTCTCCATGTGTGCATATTCTCCCTCCTCAGGGAACAGATCTGAGAAGAGCTTGCAAGGATTCTTACAGTTGTAAACAAAAGAACAGTAGTCCCTCCAAGTGAATTGGGACTTGCTACGAAGGTAAATGAGTACATTGAAATAAACACCAACCTGAGACCGCAAAAAATTAGAACTGCAGTTCTGAAGTTAAACTCCAGGAACAAAGCCTGCTTCCCACAACAGCACATTATAAACACTGAAACATGCACTTTTAAACAGAACAAGTATAAAACAAGTGTACAAATTTGTAGTAAGTCAAACTTTATTGTAAACCATTATACAATGTAATTACATCAGATACCCTTAGAAGTTTAAGTTAACACCACTGATTAAACAATACGGTTCAAACAGAGGGCAGCAGAATACAGCTGTTGGTTTTGCTCACATAGGCTATACTCTGAATTTACTTACAAACAAACCCAACATTCAGTTTGAGACAGATACCCACGCAAGACAAAAACACCTACAAAAGAGTCCCTTTTTTAAAGATACTGCAGTTTTACTTTGTAAAACCATAGTAGTCATTTTCAGTAATTGAACTGGAAACTTTACCTAAAAAAGTTTGCACGCCTATGCTGTAGATCTACTCTGACTTGATGTGGCTGAATTTATTTGCTTTCATTACTGTTTTCTCCTGTAAAAAGCACAGCAAAGTTGCAAACATGGGTTAGTCAAGCACAGTGGCAGAAATTCCTTGTGATGCTCAGCTCTCAGCAGAGGGGAGAGCCCACGCCTCCCTTCCCAGGCACAGCTGGAATCGGAGCAGACACCTGGGAGAGGATCACTTTGCATTGCTCTAATTTGCAACTCAATTTCTGAGTTTTCCCTGAAGAAAAGCTATAGTACATTTTAGTTAGCAACAATAACATACAGCATTTACCTACTTAAAGTAAGACAAGGGGACCTGAACATATTAAAGCCAGAACTTGAAAACCACGTATCAGACAACACCAGTGTTTTAAATTTATGCAGATGTGTCACAGGTCAGATACTAGAAACAGTTAATACATTTAGATTGACCATTCGTGGTAAATTTGATCTCCATTAATACTTCTGTGTCTCTTCTGTAAGTTACAATCCCTTTCTCTTACTTTGGCATATACTACATAGCTTATTTTCATTAAACAGAATCACATTTTTAAGCACAGCCTGAGTTAAACCTTTGCTATGAGTTGTCCCAAATGACTCTTTACCAGGCATAAATTTAGAGCGCCAGTCTGAGGATAATGCAAAGGTCATCGTGTTGTAATATTATTACTGGATCAACTCTTTACGAAAAATTTATTATTTCAGACTGTACTGTCAATACATTTCAACAGACAGTAAGACATAGTGAAGCACTAGGCACACACTTCCTTCTCACACATACAAGCTCTTCAGATGAGAGCACTTGTCCTACTTGTACCTACTGCAAGAATTTCAATTTTTATCTTACAAAGAGGAAAACTTCTAATTTTATATTTTCCATCTCTTCCACATGATAACAAGGAATGAATAGGAAAAAAAAAATCCAGTTTTTGTTATTTGGCTAAGGGTCTGGGTAAGTTTTATCTTAGTAGAGAAAGTTAGAGCTGTTTTTTCCCCTCTGAAGATACGCTCCTCCTGTTACTACTGTGGTATTTAAAATACTTCTGTCTCTTTGGCTCATAGTGCTTTACTACATCACCTTGCTAGGCATTATCAAAATCTCAAACCGAGTGACATTTAAGCACTTAAGACAGGAAAAATTAGGCATTCATATACCTTTGCTATAACCATCTTCAAGAAACTGCTCCATAGTGCTTTATGCTGTTTTGTACTGGGTCAGTAAGTTTGAGGTCTGCTCAAAACAAATGTTTTACATGATTAAGGCCATAATTTTATACTGACACTTCACAGACTCAACACGAGAATAGAAACAGAAATAATTTTGATAACTTAAATAAAACTGGAGAAAAGGAGGGAAAAGGAACATAAAATGAAAGCTCATACAGTTAAATTTGTGTGCGCTGCTCGGTTATCTCTGATGGCTGACAAGGATGGCGATGGCTGTGCAGTGGTATGTAGCACATGTCGAATAGCTTTATTTCACTATCTGAAATAGAACAAATCCTACGCTAAAAAAATAAATGCTGACATTTGCAGCAAGAGCCAGTCCTAGCTCTTAAATCCCTTTGGAAAAGTGAGCTGTATGAGACTATTCTTTTGATGAAAATGAATTCCTTGAAGTACTGTGCTTTTGAAGATATGCGCCCACCCCAGGGTAAACAGACAGGAGAAGATGCAAGTCACACAATCAATGAAAAAGACCAAAAAACCTGAAACAGAGGCAACACTGATTAGGGACATTTCCCCATCCCCCCGCCCCCCCATTTCAGAATGACTCAATTAAGCTTCCATTGTCATTAGTATCTAGGTTTAGTCTAAAAGAAACACTAGTACTTAAACTTATTGCAGTTATTACATTTCAGTGCACAGTAACAGAGGTCAGTGGCTCAACTAAACTCGAAAATATTAGGTTTGGTAAAATGTCCCTTCTAGCTGCTGGACACGCTGAGGTGTACCTGAAGTCTTAGAACATTGTGTTCACCTCGGCAGCCAAGCAGTGACCAGGAATGCTGGAATAGTGAAAGTAAGTACGGGAGCGCACAGTTCAGTATTTACTAAGGCCCAAGAACCTCATTTAAGTGGTCTGGATAATAAATCACATTAAGACCTAGTAAATCTATAAAAATGTAAAAAATCTTAAAAAGTTCTGAGCAGTTTTCCGATGAAACTGTTTGGTTTAAGGCTTGGAACATTTCTGATGTCCAGATACTACAACAGATTTGCAATTAAGGTCTGTTGTCACCTCTTTGACACATCGCCTTGTCCTACACAAAGTTTAACTAAAAGCAAGGAAAACCATCAGAAACAATCATTTAGAAAATAAGTAAAGCAAAAAAGACATCACTGAAAACATGTCTGCTAGGTTTCAGATCAGGGCGTTTTGTCAATTAGCAGAAGACAGACACTAAAAAAAAAAAATCACAAAAATTCTGTAGTAACAACTGTATTATACCTCTTGAGTATGTTTTTTGTTTGTTTTGTTTTTTGTTTTTTTTTTTTTAAATACTAAAGGCTAATCAGACTGTATGGAAATTAAACAGGAGAAATCTATTTTTTTTTAAAGCACATTAAATCGAAGATTGCTTTTCCAACAAAAAATCAGAGGACAGAATTATTTGCAATATTGTAGTACAACTGCTTCAGTCAGATCAGGGTCCTGTATGGCAGGCCCTCTATAAGGAGAAGTATAAGAAATGTTCCATCTCTTCTGGGTCATTTGAGAGGTATGCACAAGAGACTTGCAGAAACAGAAATAATTAGTCATCCATAGATATTAATTTCACAAATAAGTAACCTATCACAACAGATTTTTGTTATACACTAAAGTGCACGTTTGTCAAATATGCAAACACCACCTCCTATTAAAAAAGCTATTTTCAAATTGTGGTCAAAAGCACACTTAGGACTGCATTTTTAGTGATATTTGGTGACTTCAGCAGTGACAGAGAGCTTTTCCCTTCGCAACCCCTTTGTTTTAAACCAGGACACAAGGATAAACAAGATTTTCACTACAAATCTTTTGACCTGTTCTGCACAAAAAAAGGGAACTGCACCCTTTTCTCTGACAAAGAGAATCTTTAAATACAACTGTATGAAAATATAACTTAAATATAAAATAGTCAGATAGATTCGAGGAGACTTGGAAAAAAATCTTTGTTCCACCTATTAGTTCCATAGGTACCCGGTAGCAAGTAAACATTTGTACTTAAAAAAATAACGTTAAGTTACAGCTTGTAACCATAAACTATTCTGCTCTAGGAATTATGCTGCAAAAGCCAGTTTTAGTAATAAAACACACTTCTTTAACTTAGTTGATTCTGATGACTCTTTGAGAACATCTTTAACTGTATCATCAGTAACCATAAGTGAACGATTGCTGTATCTGTTTTCTATGATCTTCTCTGAAATGTCAGATACAAATCCACTTAGCGACCAGTCCTTAACAACGCTGTGTTTTTCACACATGATGAAAAGACATTCTTGCATAATTGGTCAGTGTGTCTGTAGTGCAACTGAACTGGAAGTCTTCCAACCATCTGCATTCTGTTGGTAGACCTTACTTAAGTCAGTTTGTATGAAAAGGGAGATGCAATTGCAACATTAAAACCCACTGACTGAAGTTTTTGCCATGAAACCTGCGAATGCACAGGTCAGGGAATGTGTCATACAGGCAGACCAAAACGATGCTTCTTTTTCTTAATGGGCTTTAAGTTGGTCAGTCTACGCAGGTCCTCTTCAGCATCTGATTCCTCCATCTCATCATCTGCTGAGATAAGGATCTAAAAAGAAATTACAGCTTCTGAGTAACAGGGATCAAAGTCACACTCTTTCTTCATTCTATTTCTAACCTACTTTTTTCATGCTTGCAAAGCACCTTATTATTTGCTCATGAAAGAGCTTACAGATAGCTTATAGCTATAGCCTCCACCAGATTCCTCTCTCTCTAAAATATTAACCTGTTTTGTATTAGAATTGTCCATTAGTTTTGTATTCCACGGGGTTTCTTTAAAGGCATCTGTAACAGCTCATTGGTGATATATTTAAATATATTATTATGCCTTCCTTCCCACCTGGAACCACCATGAGCGGTGCAACAATGCTCTTTTTCTCAACGCAAATGCTAGGAGCTAGGTATTAGAGGTACATGCAAACAAAATGAAAACTAAGGTGACAGTGTTACAATCCAATCAATAGCATGAGGGATAAACTGGATTAATATTGCATTAATTGCAATAATTAACTCTACATACTTCTGACTCTGACTCTTCATGTGATGCTGCTCTCCTGTATCGGACTTTACTTCCATTTCTTGAATCTTGTCCTGCTTCCTTTTCTTCAAGTTTAGCTTTTGTTTTCCCTTTCTTCATAAGAAAATTATCTACTACCCAGAACATCAATGCCTGTTTAAGAGAAGGGTGAAGTGACAGTTGAGTTTTCCTCAGAGTAGCTATGTTCATTTGGTCAGTATTTGGACAGAATTAGGAACACTTGACAATAATTCTGAATTGACCAAACAGGTAAAATCTTGTATAGGCATACAGTCACATTGCTTATTACATGCTGCATGAATGCTCTAGAACTGCTACTTTATTACTTTGTAGAAGAGAAGAAAATAAGAAAAGCAGCTGCTATTCAGAGTGATCATATATTAACTCTTCATGTAGAAATGTGAATGGTTTAGGTAGACATCTTTGTGCAACAGACTTTTGGTTCTCAAAGGATAAAATCCATGCTTGAGCAAATTAATGAAAGAAAAAAAAAATCACCAGCAGTTATTAAATGCAAGGACACCCATGATCTCTGGCTCTAGTCCCTAAATCCTGGATTACTGGAAGAGTATACTTTGGGAAGGATGATTGCACACTTGCCCTTTTCCTCTGCTCCATCATAGGCCAGCCACTATTAGCTATGGTCAGACACAGGATACTTCACAGTACAGCTATCCTTAGACCAACTGTTTCCTAAAGCAAATTTCATTGTAATTTTATAATCTATGTCAGTATTTCAGTATTACACTCAATCTACTGAAGTCATCAGGCCAAAGAGGTCTGAGGCATTTCTGTACCTCTCCCGAACCTGGTTACTTAGCTCAATATGGATTTCAGCTTTGTAAAATCTACACGTCCAGACATTTTATCCATTCTTTAACACCCTTCCTCTTTAAAAATTAACTTAAGCACCATGGTACACTGTGCTTTAAGGAATAATGTTAATTAATTAACACATGGCAGAAAGATATCCAAGTAAACATCTCACAGAAGCGTGCAAGGTGTACTAACATTAACAAAGAAGGGAACTATCAGCATGACGATAGCCAGCTCCAACTGGGGGTTCTCTATAGGATTCAATAAAGCTACCTGTGAAAAGAAAAGGATTAAGTTCAGATCATGGCAGCATGTGCACATAACTGGATTAGTAAGTGTGATTGTTCATGTACTAGCTAATGCTACAGAAATAATTCATATGAACCATAAAAGGACAGCTTTGTAGAAAAGGAAAGTACTTAGGACAGCTTATAAACTACCACAGATAAGTAAGTGGGGCTGGCAAGAACAGTATCTCTGTCATTTTTGTTTACAGAAGTCTGAAGAGCTGTGTTAGAACCATCTTAACATTTTAGACCTGCGCGCTCCCCAGGAACTTGTTTTAAGTTCCATCTTTAGGAAAACTTAAACAGAGCACAGTTTTACAAATAACAGCAAGAAGACAGTTCTTAAGGTAGTCCAGAGCATACAAAAGTGACTAACTGGTTTTAATGGACTGTAACACCACACTCCATCACTGAGTATTACATTGCACAGATTCTATCAAAGTAAATATTTATCCAGTCATCAGCAATGGCTTCACTAATCCACTGCAAATTTCTAAAATTCTACAGTTTAGATCTATTAACAAGGTCAGGCAAAGAAAATTCTTTAAAATACTATAAGAAGAAATACAAAATAGCTGTAAGTAAGGGTTAAAGGATTAAGAAAAGGAAGAATCACTTAGTAGCTTCAAGAGCACTCAGATAAGGAGATAGAATAAAATTTTATATATTGCAGTATATAAAACCCCTCCAAAATATGACAGGATATTTCTGGCAACGGATGCCAGAAAGCCTAATTAGCAGTATCCTCATCAAACTAAAAGAACATAGTACTACCAGAGCTAAATGACACTGACTGTAGACAGTTATGATGCTTGAGCCAAACCAATGCACACTATTAGAAGTCTACTGCTTTACAACTTCCACCTGAAATTAGTTTGCCTGTAAAATGCTGTAAAAATACAAACCTCTTTCCACTGAGGTATAAGAAGCACAATAATGATGATGGTTTTCTCGAACATCATAATCATTATGTACAGACCACACTGGCCCACCCATGCACTGCACTGCACTGGGTCACCTGCAAGAAAGAAAAAAGGTTCAATATATGCACAGGGTTGATTTCATTTCACAGTAAGCATTTTAGCAAAGCAGTATTAGAAGAGGCAGGCAGCTATAACCTCTTAAAGTGCTTTCTCTGATTTCTGTAGTGCGGCTCCTTCTCCCTCAGCCTCATCCCAACATTCCAAAAGTATCAGTTAGACTTTATCCAATTCAGTAGTACCTGGTTATATGCTCACTGGTTTACATAATCTGATGAAAGCAAGATACAGTTGCATTACATTTGTTTCTCATCAAATTGTTATTTTTGACCCACTATGAGGAAGTATTAAGTTTCTTAAAAGGGAAAAAATAAGGGGAAAAACATATTTCCCTTCAGTTTAAGTAGAAACGTGATGATTTTCTGCTGTTCTCCCTAGGCTACCTCAAACAAAAACTTATGTAGACTATTATGCTCTATTAAAGCAAGGAGAGGAAGACAAAGAAAAAAGGAATAGGACTGGTATGCCTAACAAGCTTTGCAGATGAGCTCAAAGCAGCACTTCACTGGAAACTAAAAGGAAGCTCTGGAGGGGGGTGTTCGCTGTTTAGCCTTCACAATAGCCTTCTGCAACATCTTCAAAGGCAACTTAAAACTTTTAGCCTGGGGATAAATAAGGGGCAGTGGAAATTCAGATGCCTTTATGTAGCTGTAACACAATGGATAGTTTGCTACTTCCTTTTCTGGAACATTTCTGAAAGGCTTTCAGTATTAATACTTGGCAATAGTCTTGAGACTTACCATTTGCTGCTTAAATGCTATGAAGAGACACTGATAAATCAGACTGGAGTTCAAAACAAAGAAAACTTCCTAAACAGCTTTCACAGTAAAAGCTAGTGATCAACACTCAACAGTCCTAGGGTAAAACAGTTAAAATGCTCGAGTGTTACAGTTATAATACCGCAGTGTATGGCTTCTGTTGTTAAAAAAAAAAAAAACACAGAAAATTGGAAAGGGGAAACAGCAGTAATTCAAAGTTAAGCAACCATGATTCTTCTGAAGATACAAGGCCTGAATTAGAGATTTAAATTTTAGCAATTAATTTTTTTACTCCACATTTTTATTAGCATTTTCTAGTTTTCTTCATTAACTAGCAAATATAAAAAAATATAATCTAGCTTTAGCTAGACTTACCACTGAAACTTTACCAGTTTATTCTAAGCTTTTTTCCAATCTGTATTTAATTCCTAAAAGCAAAGACAGCCATAGCAGTTTTGCATCTCCTCCAACTCTGTCACATGAGATTTTGCATGTTCAAAAATTGTGAAACACTGTATTAAGAGTGGTGTGTGCTATCACCAGTGAATGTTTTGTTCCATGATCTTTTTGCAGGGAGGGGCATGTTTTTTTTGGTATATGACTGAAATTACAAGTTGTGTATATTAAATTATACTTGAGGATTTTTGTGTGCCCTACTGCATCTATAAAATTATCTCTCAGCTCTAATTACAAGTGGGGAGAACAGGGATGTTCTCTACTTTCAATTTATCAAGTTTTTTGACAGTGTCCCAATAGCATCCTTATAGAAAAGTTGTGGAGATATGGACTGGATGGGTAAACATACAATTCTAACAAAGGAAGAAAGCTTTCACAATGAGAGTGGTTAGGCACTGGAGTAGGTTTTTCAGTGGGGTTCTTAGATCTCAGACCATGGATAAATTAAAAATTGGACTAGATTATGCCCTGAACAACCCGCTTGAACTTTGAAGTTAACCCTTCTTTGAGCAAGGGGTTGAATTATATGACCTCTGGAGATCCTTTCCAACAAGATTTTTACAACAATTTCAAACTACTTCATTCAAGGAAAAAAGAAGGTGTTAATAACTTCATTATATCCAGGAGGTGCTCCCAGGACTATCTGGGACACCTGTATGTTAAAAAACTCAATACACAAACTCGAATTGGAACTTTAAAGTTAATGTTGAAGCCATAAAGCTCTAAATTAATTTCTGACAGTCTCTCTTGAATTCTCGTTTTACACCTGTCATGTATAAATTACATGTCTAGAATAAACTAGCAAGTTGGTAGAAATCTTGTTACTGCAAAAGTGCATTCAAGACTGAAACTGAAAATGTCTGAATCCTCAGCAGTGACAACTGTGGCAGCATTTTTTGAAAATGCTGTGCAATGAAAAACTAGTCTATACTAGTGTACACTACTTTCATCAGACACTTTGTAGAAGCACATTCATAGACAGCTCTTGAACAAAATACCTGTGATTCTTCCATTCTGTAACTTTTGTTCTTCAAATCCTGAGAAATTTTCTTAAGAAAATACAAAATTACAGAACTACTCCAAAATACATTTTTAAAAGTTTTGAATTGCTATCTACCCTATATGGCTATAAGTGAGTTGCTCTGCAAGTTGCAAACAAAGAGCTAGAAGGGTAAGATGCATCAAATACAATTTCTAAGCTTTGCCATCTGAGAAGCAAAGACAAGCAAAGAGACAACAGCACAATTTAGTTGCCGATGAGTTCCTTGTCACCAAGAGGGATTTAGTCACCTGTTTTTTACTGAAGCAGCTAAAGTAGCCTAAGACAACAAGGGAAGGAGAACGGAGGGAACATTCTTTTCAGTACAGATCATGACTGCTTTTCTGCTCCTTACATACTCAAATTTATTAACTGATTTTGTGCTTCTATTGAAATACAGCCACTGATGTAATGAATCTGAAAATGCAAAACTGGAAATATGAAGACAAGTCTAATAAACTTAAAAATTCTGACACAAAAAAACCCTTGAGGGAGTGTCATACTACTTTGTTTGTAAATCAGCATGCAGTGCTGTTTTGCTGTACAAACAGCAACCATTTATGAATGCTGATATTTTGGTATTCTATTCTTTCCTTGAGGCATTTACGCTTAAAAACTACCCGCCATATAAAGAAAAGGCTTTTAAAACCAGCAGGACATTGCTATTTTTGTGACAGCTTCAAGTAATGAATCACAAGGGATCAAGTAATAGAGCTAAGAAGGGAAATGAGCTCACAGTGTGAATTAACTTGAGACAAATGATTATTTAGGCTCTAGAAACACAAACAACATCGCTCAATCACAAGAAGAGACTTGGTGCTTTTTTTTTTGGGGGGGGGG